CTGAAGACTCGTGGCGCTGCAGGTTCTGACTGGACTGGTGCACCTGACGACTCGTGGCGCTGCAGGTTCTGACTGGAACGGTGCACCTGACGACTCGTGGTGCTGTAGGTTCTGACTGGACTGGTGCACCTGACGACTCGGGTCAGGTTCTGTGGTTTCACCTCAGTCTGGGTCCACAGCTCTTCTGAAAACCTCCTGAAAGGATTTTCACCTACGTTAAAGTTTTACAACTCGTGGTATTAAAACTAAAGGTCATGGTTGGTGTAAAGTAGATTTATTGCTGCCTCATTAAATTATCTGTTAATTTGAAGTAAAACATCGGATCAAACTACTCAACGTTGATCACTTAAAAACGCTTTTTGCACAAACGTCATGTTCTGCAGGTACACTAATATAATAAGAACAGACACTTACTTTGCATCAAGCTTCTAAATAACAAAAACAGAAATATTTATGCTTTACCTATGTATAGTCTTTCCCGCGCACGTCCTGCAGTCGAACTACGGCTGCTCTTGTAACCGCTCACACGTGGAAATATTCGGCTCGTTCAGGAATAGTGCGCTACGACTTTGGGTTTTAAATCCTCAGAAATTCACTGAGATCTATTTAATTCATTTGAAAACATTGATTTCTAAAATCTACTTCAGCTGATTTGCTGCTTTTTATGCCTCTTAACTTTTAGCTTATGTCCAGCTAATTTTAGCTACTAGCATTTTTTGCTATAGGTTTTCTGTAGCGTTTTACTAATTTTAGCATTAAGCTAATGGTATGCATGGGTTTTCTTCGGATACTCCGGTTTCCTCCCACTGACTAAAAACATGCATGTTAGGCTGACTGGTAACTCTAAATTGTCCCGAGGTGAGAGAGTGAATGCTTGTTTGTCTCGTTGGTCTCTGTGTCCCTGTGATGGACTGGAGACTTGTCCAGGTGTCTGCTGGATATGGACACCATGACCCCCACGACCCGAAAAGGAAGAAGCGGGTAAAGATAATGCATGGATGGATGGCTAATGGCTTGCTAATTTTTGCTTTTAGCATGTAGGTGCTGCTAATATTAGCATTTAACTGTTTTTTTTTGTTTGTTTTGTTTTTATGCACTGTTTTACCCATTTTAGTTATTTAACTACAGTTTTGCTCATTTTTGAAAAATGTTCTGAATGACAATAATAAAAGAGTAAAACTACTTTTCCAACCAGAAGATAAATAATTTGTAAAATTATAAACCGAGAAGGTAAACTGCAGATTAGCGAGCGCGCTGTTAGCTTTAGGCTTTCTTTTTGTTTTGAGGGCAGGTTCTTGTTGCTCCGCCGGGGCCGTCAGACTCCGGTAAAGTCCTGGTTTTCCTGGGAAGCAGCCGGGTCAGAACATGCAGCACTGACTCAAGAGTTCGGCCCAACGACTTCAGATATGTTCGGGATTAAACTGTAACCGACCCGTCACGAGTCACGGCTACTTTCGGTTGTGGAACGCTGACGTCATCGGCTTCACATCTCTGCAGTTGTTTCCGTGAAGATCCCTCTGACCTCTGATCAGCTCTTGGCAGACATGGGGAGGAACAGAATGGCCTTCTGACCCGGCCCGGTGTTGCTCCCGGACTTGTACTGACCAGTCCGCTTCAGTGCCACGTACATGTTGGGGTATTTTCTGGAGCGGTAGGTGTTGTAGTTGTTGCTCTCCAGATGTTCCAGGAAGTAGCACTCGTCCGTCGCTCGTTTCTGAGGAACACAAAACAAAACGTGAACGTTCGACGCTTCACTCCGACTCTGCTGCAGAGATTTATTACACAGCTGAGTCCAAGTTACTTAGACACTCACGTCCCAGTAAGGATTATTTAATCCACTGAAATGTAAGAAAACAGTCAAACAAAAAAACTTCAGGGTTGTTCTGCAAGTTTCTATTGAAGAATAAACTTTGTTTGAATAAATTACTAAGTTTAACTTTTTACGACAATAAACCTGAAATCTTACTAAATAATTGTTTTTGAGGAGTCGTTTGTATTCTAAGAATAAAGAAGTGCTTTAAACATAAATAACCCCAGCCGACATGAAAGGTGGCGGGTGATAGTGTAAAGTGGTGACGTTTGAGACTTCTGGACCCACCCATCCATTATCTTTACCCGTTTATTCCTTTTCGGGTCACTGGTGCCACTGGTGCTCATGTCCAGTTATCACTGCACAACAGGCAGGGGACACCTGGACATGTCTCCAGTCCATCACAGGGACATACAGAGACAAACAACCATTCACTCTCTTTCACCTAGGGACAATTTAGAGTCTCCAATCAGTCGAACACGCATGTTTTTGGTCTGTGGGAAGAAACCGGAGCACCTGGAGAGAACATGCAAACTCCACCCTGACAGGACCCCAGCCGGGATCTGAACCAGCAACCTTCTCGCTGAGAGACAACAGCTCTACCAACTGAGCCAGATTCTGGACCGAAAGAAGAAAAGAGGACTGGCAGCTAAGACGAGTCACGTCTTTCCTGTCCTCTGATCCGGCTGAGACGTCTCCACAGATTAAATTAAACTAAATAATCTAAAGATTAACCGAAACAAATTAAAGGCCTAGCAATCTTTGAGAGGATGCATATCGCCCATTGAGTTTAAGAGAAGATGAAAAGCTTTGGTCAAACCTTGTAAATGTTCAAACTTGCGTAAGAACGGGAGCTTGTGTAGTTTGTCACATGATGAGAACGACTCAGCTGCCACCACACAGATTTGATCAATTTCCGCTAATCGGACAGAGTTGAGGGTTCTTTCTGCTGGTACGGTCGAGTAGCTGCATCTGCCCAGTGGGCCAGGAGTTATTTTGCTAACACGAACAGGGTTGACACCAATCATCAAGTTTTAGGCGAAAAGTCTACACAGCTTGGAGTAAATGTCGAGAGCGACGCTCAGCGACTGAGTTTCAGAGCAACGTCTGTCACTTTGGTTGAATTATATCCACGTGGCGGCCATCTTGAATCCAAGAGTCACCGTAATTTCCAGACTATTGAGCATAATGAATATAAGCTGCACCCACTAAGTATAAAAAGAAAAAAATATATATTTTACACACTTGTGTATAAGCCGCAGGTGTCCACGTTGTTACACAGAAAGATTTTTTTATTAAATACGTACCGGTAACATCCACAAACACAGTAAATGTTGTCTGAACAGTGCCTGGAGCACGACTGGCTAAAATAAAGAAGTACAGTAGCCTACCAGGAAAGGTCATTGAACACTATCTTCGTTCCTCCCGCGCACTAAAACCACTAAAGGCGTCTTCGTCAGTGTCAGAATTGAAGAGTCTCAGAAAAACGTCACCACACGTCCTCCGTCTCTTTTGTTGTCATTCTCAACGTCACTTTTGTCTCGAGGCAAATTCGCGATTGGATTTGATCTGCGGTTGACACTTATTTCGAATGGCTGCAAATACTTCGTTGTGCATGTTTTTGGTCTGTGGGAGGAAACCGGAGTAAACCCACGCAGCACGGAGAGAACATGCAAACTCCACCCCGGACCGGGATTTGAACCGGGGACCTGCTCGCTGAGAGGCAGCTCTACCAGTTGTGCCACGATGCTGCCCTGTGACCTATTCAGTAAATTCATTGGTCAGATTATTTTAACCTTTATTTAAACCGATAGTCTCATTGAGTCACAAGGACCCACCCCCAAGAGAGCCGTGTATCGGGCAGCTGTGTGAGCGCCCGGGTGTGACGAGGCTAAATGTTTTGGTAGCATGAAGCTCGTTAGACCATCAAAACAAAAATATATAAATTAGCCGCAGCACATATAAGCCGTGATGTTCAAAGCGCGTGGAAAAATGTAGCGGCTTATAGTCCAGAAATTACGGTAATCAGTTTTAGATTCAGTGTTTACATTTTAAAACATTTAACTTTTTAATTTTAATATCCTGTTTTTTAAAAGTTATAAGGATTACGATTATTCTGACATGTATGTCAATGTAAATCATATTTTATTGAATTGCCATATTGCATTCATGTTTTAACATAATGTTTTTTCTTCCCTTTTTCTCAACTAAGTGTAAATATTATTCTGAACAAGAATAAGAGAGGCCGCGCTTTTATAGCAGCAGCTTCGTGCACGCCGCCCATCTTGCGAACGACCGTGCGTACATGTTCTTGTTGTATCTCGGTGCAGTGATAATAAATCTTATTCTGATTCTAGAATATTTTATAGAACCAAAACAGAGTAGCGATGTCTCACCGCTCCAAACAGCCGTCCATCCCGGTTCATGGCCAGGTACCGGTTCGCAAAGACTCCTTTGATGACCACCTCCCCCACGGAGGTCGCCTGCATCTTGAGCTTTACTGCAGATGGACAGAAAAATATTTAAAATCAATAAACAGAAACCATTTGAGAAAAAACAAGTAATCTTTTTGATAAATCCTAACTATTATATAAAAAGGACTTTACTGAAGCTCTAATTTAAAATATATTCTTAATACATTTAAAACTATTCATGGTTTCCACAAAGCCAGCGGCCAAAATGAGTAAATATATAAATAATACATCCATTAGTAAAGCCAAAATATATTTAAGGGGTTACAGGAAATAAATAAAAAAAGAGCAGAATAATCAGATTACAAGAAGCTCCAGAAAGTTGTTCTCTTGGGATTTATGACTCAGATTGTTTAATTTGGTGTCATCAAGTGACAAATTTACAGATTCAGACTAAATAAATTCAAATTATTTAAAACAAACTTCTGTGGATTAAAAAAAACAAACAAAAAAAAACATTTTTAAAGAACAAGTTTATTTGAAGCTACTGAAGTCTCACAACATGTAATTATGAATTTTAACATTTGTAAACCCCTGGATGATGTCGTATGGTTCACTTTTGGTAAAATAATCTTCTTCTTCTTCTTTCGGCTGTTCCCTCTTCAGGGTCCCCAGAGCTAGTCCTCACTCCAACTACCTCCATGTCCTCTCTAACTGCATCCATATGTCTCCTCTTTGTCTTTTTCCTGGCAGCTGCATTTCTAACATCCTTCTACCAATATAACCACTGTCCCTCCTCTGGACATGTCCAAACCACTGTACCTCCTCTGGACATGTCCAAACCATCTCAGTGTGTCCTCTCTATCAATCAACCTTTATTTAGACAGGTAAATCCCATTGAGCCTCGAGGACTCATTTACAAGAGAGACCTGATTTCAACAAAGAAAGATGACAACAATGGACAACAGCAACAACAATAAACAGTTATAAAAACTCATACTACAGTTTTTTTTTTTTTTTTTTTTTAAACAAATAGGATGGCTAAAAGGAAAAAGGTAACAAAACAAAAAACAGCTAGATTCCAAGACCAATGTACTAACTTCATCTCCCAGTTGTTCAACCTGTGCTGTACCTCTGATGATCTCATTCCTGATCTTCTCCATCCTTGTCTCTCCTAAGGAGAACCTCAACATCTTCATTTCTGACACTTCCAGTTCTGTCTCTTGTCTTTTTGTCCATGTCTCTGTCTCCAGACCATACAACATCGATGGTCTCACCACTGTCTTGTAAACTTTTCCTTTGACCTTTGCTGACATCCTTTTCTCACAAATCACTCCTGAAACTTTTTTCCATCCACTCCATCCTGCCTGGACTCTCTTCTTCTCCTCTTTACCACACTCCCCATGTTCCTGGACAGTGGACCCCAAGTCCTTGAAGTCCTGCACCTTTGTGACCTCTGCTCCTTGTAGCCTCACTGTTCCACCTCCTCCCTCTCATTCACACACATGGATTCTGTCTTACTACGGCTGACTATCATTCTTCTTTCAAGTGCATACCTCCACCTCTCCAAGTTCTCTTCCACCTGTTCCCTGTTCTCACCACAGATCACAACGTCATCTGCAAACATCATCGTCCACGGAGATTCCTGCCTGACCTCATCTGTTAGTCGTTCCATCACCAGAATAAACGAGAAGGGGCTCAGAGCCGATCCTTGATGCACTCCCACCTCCACCTTGAAGCTATCTGTGGAGGTGGGATTGACTTTTGATAAAAGTGTCTGCAAATTAAATGCGAAAAGAACATTTTTACAACAATTTGTAAAACAAAGTTTCAACAAACCATTTGTAGGTTTTGACAAATCTGGATCTCACATGAAAAGGTTCAAAAGTACCAGAAAATAACCAGAATAGCGCCTTAAGGATAAACGGCGTGAATAATTTAAACCTCCATCCTCCTGGCGGTCTAACAGGAAGTGGTTTCTGTTCGAGCCAAACATCAGCTCGTGTTCCTTCAGCTGCTGCTTTTAGAACCACAGAAGTTTAACGTCACATCAGACGCTGGAAAACAGCGAAGCGCAACTGAGGCAGCCTCGGAATCTCCTCCATCTTTGGAACGAGACGCCGCCTCTCACCAGCAGGACCATTTACAGGAAGCTAAATGAAGGAAGTGGGGGGGAATTAAGAGGCTCTGCTCTAAATGAATCCACATCAGGACTCTGAACACATCTGTCTACAGTTAAGACTCACATCACTGAACAAAGAGGTGTTCTATCCCAAACAAGCCCGTGTCTCCCGTCGCTGAGGGGTCTGAACACTGTTTTTCCAGACGAGTCAATTAAACAGGGACAACAAGTAAACCTTAATGTTTCTGGTGCAAGGTGTTAAGTTGGTTATAAGTACAGAGCTAGAGAGCAGTGGCAGATGCAGGTGAGCAGAGGGAGCAATTTTACAACTAAGGTAAGTTGTTTGTTTGTCACATGCAGGTCAACACAAGGTTCAGAAGATGTTTGAGATTAAAATATAAGGTTTGATAAAACGTCCTCATCAACGCCACGTGATGGCTTTAGGCTCTTTAGTCTCTGCGTCTCTTGTAACAGCGCAACAAAGGTTAGAAAATGTTCCTAGAAAATTAGGTGCAATGGCAGAGCCGCAGGGTGGCCAATGGTGGCCTTGGCCCCCATAGGATAATCCACTACTTAAACCAGTTGGGTTCAAAGCTAAACCATTAACATTAATTCCTGCTTAATGACTCGCAGACTTGTAACACGGCCTCTTGGACAAATGTGAAACATTAACCTCTGCAGAGGAGCCGAAGTGCAGCTAATCATTCCTCAGAGTACTTCAGGATCGTGCCCATCTGTGTAACTGCAGGTACGAGTTGGAGCAGCATCTCGTGCAGTGAAGGATCCACATGTTGCTTTTTATCCTCGGTAACATTAGCAGGCACGTGTTTCCCCAGGAGGAAGAAAAAGGTGCATTCCTCCTCCTCCTCCTCCTCCTCCTCCTCGTGATGAAACTTCAGGACACTCTTTAATCAGTGACGAGGCCTCGGAGGGAAGAACAGATCGGGTTTTGCTTCATGACTTCAGTTTAAAAAAGGATTAAATCGTCTCACTGCACAAACGTGGAGGGATCATTAGCATTACATTAACAAGTTACGTCTCTGTGAAAATGCAGTGAGAGCTGAAGGACTGCTGAAACATGCTGAAGAACCTGAAACTAAATTGTTAAAGCTAAAATAAGCAGAGAACTAGCTAAAAAACAAGAACAGAACACAAGCTTAAAGCTAAAAGTAACAAAATGGTAACCAAGAGCTGAAGGTTTGCTAAAAGCAGCCAAATACTAGCCGATTCCTGGTCCACAAGGGTTTGGTCCTGCATGTTTTAGCTGTTACTTTGCTCTTTAAGTTCTGCAGAAACCTGTCACTCACTCATTCATCCAAATCAAGCAGAAATCAGCTAAAACGTGCAGGACGGTGGCCCTCAAGGACCAGAACTGAGGACTACGACTTATTAAAAGCAACAAAAGTATAGATAAAAGTTCCAGCTAACAGCTATAAGCTAAAAGTAGAAAAAAGTTGGCTAAAAGCTAAACCTAGCAGAACAGTAGCAAACAGCTGATCAAAATCTAAAAGTAGCCAAAGACTGGCTAAAAGCTACAAGTATTAAAAGGCTATCTAAAAATAGCAGAACACTAGCTACAAACCAAAAGTATCAAAAGTTTAAGTAAAAGATAAAAGTAGCAGAAAGCAACTAAAACTAATAGAATAGTAGCTAAAAGCAAAAAAATGGTAGCTAAAAGAAAAAGGCATTCTAAGAGTAGCAAAACATTAGCTACAAACTAAATGTAGAAAAATATGAACTCAAAGATGAAAGTAGCAGAACGGCAGCTAAAATCTAAAAGTAATAGCTAACAGCTAAAATCATCAAAATGTTAGCTAAAAGCAGAAGGCTAGTTAAAAATAGCAGAATGCTAGCTACAAGTTAATAGTAGCAAAAGGCCAGCTAAAAGAGCAGAACAGTTGCTAAAACCTAGAGCAGCACAAAGCTAAGTAAAAGCTAAAAGTAGCATAGGAGACAAAAAAGAGCTGAAGATAAGCTGAAGCAGATTTCAAAGAGAAGAAAGTTTTTGAATGAAACGCAGAAATCTTTATTTATATGGGAAAATATTTGTAAATAGTTAAATACTTTTAAAAATATAAAAGCTACAAAAACATAAAATTGGTGCATCCTTCTTCAGAATGAGCCAAACATTTATGATGGATTAGAATTAGTAAAAATAACCGACAGTTGTTTTCTGAGCTTGAGGCTGACCTTTGACCCGGAGAGCATCTGCGGGGCTTTAATCTGCCGTCTTGTCACACGAAGCACGCCGTGAGCGGCTGTGACTCAGCAGGCCGAACACTTTCACTCAGACTAAACCTGAGGTGAACGTCTGCAGCTTTTACATTTTCCAGTTTTCAAAACACTAAAAATCTGAACGAGTGAAGAAACTTCAGTAAGACGGAAAATCCTCATTTTCCTTCTTTCTCCGAAAGCTTCACTAAAACTTTCCTCTTGCATATTTACAAGGAACATAAAGAGTCCTTGTGTAACGTCCTAAAGCAGAAGAAGGCGACTGGAGGTACTTACTGTGGGGGTCGGTTTTCTCCCGGATGCCGTCCACGCCCCCGTCAGATTTGATCCTCAGGAAAAAGCCTCCGTTCTTACAGTACAGCCTCTTCGGCTCCTTGAAGCTCCCAGGAAAACCGCCGCTGCCGTCGTCCTCAGCTGCGGAGGGAAGTGTGGTGATCTCTCCTGTAGCCATCTCCTCCGGTTCACCCGCTTCCTGCAAACTGCTGCGTCTCCTTCTGTGGGGAGCAGCTCCCTCGCTGTGGCCTCCCACCAACCTCCTCCACTCCTTAACCTCAGAGGTCAGCTTGCCTCTCAAGGCAGCAAGTGCCCTTTGAGTCCTGGGAGTCTGAGACACAAACTCCTGCAGGTTTCTGTCTTAAACACCAGTTCCTCCCATCTGAGGCTGTGTGGCGAAGCGGCTCCGTGGGGAGGCCGAGCGCGCAGGTTTGACTCCGTCTCCCTCTCTTCTTGCAGTGTTTGAAGCAGGGCAGCTGGCTTGGGTCTGTGATGAAGCCTTTTCCCTTTTGGGCCTCAGTTCGCATGCGCCCTAGAAGAACCGTCACACACACACACACACACACACACACACACACATGCTCACACACACGCCCACCAACGCTCGCCAGTTTAACCAGCCAACCCAGAGGAGGCTGGGAAAGGGGGACGAGCAGCTTGTGCTCCACAGAACCAGTGCTGCCATTCATGGAGTCAGAGGAAAGAAACGTGACGTGTGTTTTCAGTAACTCGCTACGATGTCTAAAATGTTGCTCTGTTCAGTAGATGTTCAGTTTGAGGTACGGCCACAGTCCACATTAGCACGTGCGGTTGTCAAAATGAGCAACTCCACGTTTCGTTAAGGGCCTTCCCACCAACGCAGAGTGAATAACGATGACACGGTGAGACAGTCTGGAAGACTGAGTAAAACTTTACATACATGTGTTATCAACTGTCAAAGAGACAAGATGGCTGCCACAACAAACTGATCTTAAGAAGAAACCAGCGTGGCCGAACTTCAGTCACTTTGCTGAACTGGAATTTGGTGTGGTAGTAACCGAGAGTCACCCCCAACACACACTTCAAGCACAACGTATTGAACGTTTGGCTGTTAGCAAAATATAATCTCATAGGTGAATTTTAACCCTTTTATTATGAGCGCGTCGCAGATGACACATTTTTATAGTAATAATAATAATAATAATGATGGAGCCTGAACGATATATCGTGGGGCCGATAAAGATGTTTGAGGGACGTATCGTATCGGGGATGTGCCGATACAAACACTGGGAACAAGCCGTGCTCTTACATGCAAATGGCCTAAATGTACAATGTGTCCAGCCATATGGTGTGGTGTATTCTACTGAACAGAGCATGGTAAATTTATTTTAGCTCATTTGTAAAATAAAATAAATCAATTCTCTTCAAACTACCCACTCGTCATTAGCTACATGCCTCTCAAGTTAGCATGCTAACGTTAGAACAATAAATCTAACAGAGGTGAAATATATCAGTGTTAGTAACATTATCTTTGTTGTCCTCGATGAAATGCATCGTTTGTCTGAAATCTTTATTCTTGCAAATAAAGATAAACTCTGCTGCGGTCAGTACGAGGTCGATCTTCACCGTACGGGACTGACTGTTTAAACAACGAACAGGAAGACGTCTGTTTAATTTATATTTTTGTAACACTTGAAAACTTTATGCTGAACAGTGGGGGAGAGAAAATGTGAACGCGCGTTAAGAAGATGTTTCAAAACTTCAAACAGGTTTAAAAGTAGCTGCTTACTTGGATTCTCATGGGTGGACAAAGCTCAAAACCTTTCTGCACTTAAAATGATCAAAAACATCCAATAACAGACGAGTGCATCAACGACTTAAATCTTGTGTGGTGAGCCCAGTTCAAGATGGCCGTCACAGCTAATCGACCTTAGCCTGCACAAAAAGGGCTTCAACTATATAGAAGTTGGTGTGGTAGTAGCTGAGAGTTGTTCACAACTCATACTTCAGAATATGCAAGAAAACGCTCGGTATCGCGTGAGATTGTGTATAAAGTTTAAGGTTTGATCAAAGCTGCTGTAACTGTCATCCCTCTGGACCAGCGGCGGGCGATGTGCATTTCTTCAACCAATGCCGAGCTGCTACGATGACTTCATGTAACCACGAGTGCAGGTGAAGCACAGAGCCGTCGACTGGATGTGACCTCTCTGTGACCTCTCTGTGACCGCTCTGTGACCTCTCTGT